TTGTTTGAGGAGCACAAACTGGAGCACAAAACGAAGTACATCGCTCTGTGTTGCTTCCTTGCTCGAGACTTGCAGCAGCGTGGTCAGCTTCGTCTTGCTGATATATTGACCAAGTCACTTCAGTCTGGTGATCATCAGCGTTTCTGTACTATTTTAGGCGTTGTGTCTACTGGCAGAAGAATGAACGAGAATGAATGAACTATGAAAGAGTACTAACCGTAATTGGGTTGTACCACTTATGGGCTACCCCACTATAGCCTACACAAATTTAAGCACTATAACATTCTGACACACCCCCATAGGCAAAACGGGGTAGAATAAGTGGTCACAAGACCAATCAAGAAAGCAAAGAAAGCTCAGGGTGGATCACAAAGTCACCACACAGTCCGAGCACAAAGAAAGGGCCACAAGACCAGTTCACATGCAGAGTTACATAAAAGAGAACAAACAATACAATGATCATACCCTAGCAAGTGTAAGCATGCAGGTATATATATAGATCACAGTACAAGCAAAGTCACGCAGTGAGCAAGTGAGGCAAAGTAGGCACAAGGCCTAACACAATAGAGAACCGCTGATGATCACCAGGCGGAAGTGCCTTGGTGAATATATCAGCAATGTTGGCCCTAGTGGCCACGTACGCAAGACGAAGCTGGCCACGCTGCTGCAACTCTCGAGCAAGGAAGTATCACAGAGCGATGTGCTTCATTCTGTGCCTCAGTCTGTGCTCCTAACACAAGGCAATCATGGCTTTGTTGTCTACGTACAGAACTGGAGGCGAACGAGGCTGCTCTTCCAAGTCAGTCAGGAAGTAGGTGAGCCAGCGTAGCTCCTGTGCAGCCATGGCCCCGGCGTAGATCTCAGCCTCACAACTGGAGCTGAGAACCGAAGACGAGCGGGTAGACCGCCAGGAGACAGAGCTGGAACCAAGGCTGAAGGTGTAACCTTGTGACGTCCGCTGCGTAGCTGAGTCGTCAACCTAAGAAGCGTTTGCGTGACCAGTGAGGACAACTGGACCCCGTCCTCCAAGCACGAGCCCCATGCCCGATGTACTGCACAAGTAACGCAGTACCCTCTTCGCAGCATCCCAGTGCACATTTCAGTGCCTACCGCGAGCCACGTAGCGAGCCAGAAAGCTGAGAGGGTACGCGAGGTCAGATCGTGTGCACGTCATCAGGTACATGAGGCAACCCACAAGCTCTGGGTACTGACCACTCGGCTCTACGGACTCGTCCGAAAGTGGAGCTGAGAGCGAGTGGCCGGTAGACAGAGGAGAGGGCTGTGGCGAGGAGTACCGGAAGCCGAAGCGCTGAAGGACCTGGTGCACCATGTGTGACTGAATAAGGGTGATGGTGCGCCGTGCTCTATCCCGGGTAATCTGCAAGCCAAGATAGCTGTGAAATTCACCTAGGTCAGTGCAGATGTGTCTCTTATGCAGCTCCGATTTCACAAGGGTCAGTGCCTCGGTGTCAGCAGTGGCAAAGACCAGGTCGTCGATGTAGACGAGGACGTAGAACGGCGGCAGTGAGGTGTCGGTGCGTAGAAACAGCGACGGGTCAGCAGTCGAAGGAGCAAACCCAAGAGCCGCAAGTGTAGTCCTCAGTGTGTCGTGCCACTCGCGAGGCGCCTGGCGGAGACCGTAGACTGGCCGCCGGAGGCTCCACTAGGTACCTGCAGGAAACGAAACGAAGCCAGGTGGGCGACGCAACCAGATCTCCTCGTGCAGGCTGCCCTGCAAGAAAGTTGTGCTGAAGTCCAAAGAGTGCAACTCGTAGTCACGCTGAGTAGCGACGTGTAGCAATACCCGAAGAGTAGTCATCTTCGGGGTGGGGGAGAAGGTCTGGAAGTAGTCAACCCCTTGTCGTTGACTGAAGCCTCTAGCAACGTAACGCGCCTTGAAGGCAGGCGGAGAACCCGGCGGCCGCTTCACCATGAAAATCCACATGCCATCGACTTTGTTCGCCCGAGACGGGGGAACTGTCTTGACGTAGGTGCCTGTGGACTTCCAGAATGCCATCTCGGCATCCATGGCTGTCTGCCACTGAGAGGAGTAAGGACCCGTAATCGCCTCTGCGTAAGAGCGCGGGGTCGGGATGTCTGGTGCATCCGGGTCTCTCTCAGGGGCAAGCAGCATGGAAGCGAAACGAGGTACAGCAGCTGCAAGACACTCAAAGTCCTCCTGCCTGTCCTCAAGGACGTCCGTGCTAAGAGCACACTCACCCCCGACGGACGGAGGACTCTCAGACTCAGACTCAGCACAAGAGCAGTGTCGTAGTCTAGACGTCAGGCAGCAGCAAAGTCAACCAGCTCAGCAACGAGGGCAGATGCAGCAGCAGACTCAAACCAAGGGTCAGTGACAACAGTGGCGAGGAGACGAGAGACAGTGGGACTGGCCGCACGCACAAGGTCAGACTCAGGGTCAGGGACGGCAGGAAGAGAGGACTCAAGAGGAGGCGGCAGAGGAACACGCAGTGGAACAGAGGAAGGACGAAGTGCCATAGCGTGCGTGCCGGGGACAGGAGGAGGACGCGAACGAGGAACGCGACGAGTAGTGCGAACAAGCGAGACAGGACGAGACGCAAGCTGACGACGCTATGTAAGACCGCCGGTCTGCTCAGTGTAAGGAGAAGGAGCAGGCAATGGGGATGCTGGCTGTAACGGCGGCTGCGACTGGTCCGGCGGTGGACACAGTAAGGGAGGAGTAAGGCTAGTAGAAGATGGGACACCAAGAACCTGCTAAAGCAAGGGAACGAAGTGCGGTCCCGGCCCCACAGTGCCCCCAGGGTCAACAGCTCCAGCTCCAGCGCCTCCTGCGCCAGTGCCTCCAGCTCCAGCTCCCCTAGCTCCAGCGCCACCAGCGCCAGTGCCTCCAGCTCCAGTGTCTCCAGCCCCAGCAGCTCCAGGCTCCGTAGGATCTCCAACTCCAGCAGTAACTCCAGCACCTCTAGCCCTAGTGTCTCCAGTGGCTCCAGCTTCGGCAGCTCCACTCCGAAGGCGTGCGCGCCGAACAAGCCACTCACGCAGCTGCTGCAGGGAGAGAGGCTCCTGTCGGGGAGACAGTCCCGGCGAAGCACCAGTAGGACCTCCAGACGAAGCAGCACCCCGAGACTCAGCACCCCCAGACCCCCGCACCCTCAGACTCAACACCTTCAGGCTTAGTATCCCCAGGCTCCACACCCCCAGGCTCTGCACCCCCAGGCTCAGCACCCCCAGACCCGGCACCCTCAGACTCAGCGCCCCCAGGCTCTGCACCCCTAGGCTTTGCACCCCCAGACGCAGTACCTCGAGCAGCACCTGAGTTGCCAGCTGCCTCAACAGGCACAGTACCAGGGAGAGGGTCTACCTGAGACACACCTGAGGGAGCAGGACCCTGTGGCGGGATGGGGGTCTACCGAAGGGGGACCGGGAGCAAGGAAGAGGGGCGGGGGCGGGGGAGGGGCAGAGCGGTAGGGGAAGAGACGGTAAAAGGGAACCGACTCGTCAAACGTGAAGTCCTGAGAGGGGAAGACTCGGCGCGAGGTGGGGTGGTAAAACTGCCAGCCAGGCGCGTCAGGGGGAAAGCCAAGGAAGACGCAGGGGATAGTACGGGCGGAGAGCTTGTCCGCAGACGTATCACGAACAAAGGCACAAGAGCCCCAGACCCGGAACATCGACGCATCGCCAACCTCTCCCGTCTAACGCAGTGTGGGCGAGGTCTCCGGCAAGGAGACACGGGGCCAGAAGTTGAGTTGATGCGCAACGTACCAAATCGCAAACGGCCACAAAAAATGGGGAGCAGCCGCATGGATCATGGAGGTACGAGCGACCTCCATGACTAAGCCAATGCGGCGCCCAGCAATCCCATTTTGCTGCGGTGAGTTTGGAAGCGTGAACGACTGGAGAATGCCCTCCCCACGATGAAAGTCCCACAAGAGGTCGGAGGAGAACTCACCACCTCGGTCATAGTGGAGACGCAGGACAGGAAGGTCCTGGTGGAACCGCTCGCGGAGCTGGAGACGTACTGCACGGATCCAAGGGATCAAGAAATCAACGACCTGACCCTTGCAGCGCAAGGGGAAGACCGTGGTGTACCGCGTGTAGTCATCAACGACCAGCAGAAAGTAGCACTCGCGACCCTGTCAACTGACTCGGGCTGGGCCCCACACGTCCATGCGGAGAGTCTGCAGGGGAGCAGTTGTCGAGGGAAACGAGGAGGAGTGAGGAGCGGCGCGCTGTCACCCCTCGACGCAAGGAAGGCAGGGCGGAGCCGGCGAGGGCGGGAGGGGAGGCAGAGACCTGGGAAGACCAGAGATAACGAGGCGGGAGTGCATGCCACGCAGACGTGGCAGGGAGGGGTGTCCAAGGCGGTGGTGCCAGAGGAGAGTCTGGTGCGACAGGAGGCGATACGAGCAAGGGGGTGCTACCTGACCTGACGCAGACACCTGGGCTGACGCAGCTACCTGAGGAGGCTCGGTAGCCAGTGAGTACAGACTCGACCCTGGCTGATGAGTGAACGTGGCCAGGTGACGACCCGTCCGTGTACACGTGCAGATCGACACACGCTGACCCTCAGAAGTGGTGGTAGTGACCATCGAATCCTGGAGGGCAGCTGTACTCACCAATTTCGTAGAGAACCAGGGGAGGTGAAGATCTGACAGTGAGCCGGACGGAACCGCCGGACACGGGAGGACAGTGGAGGAACGTGCAACGACTGGGCCTCCGGAGGGGTCAGCCAATCTGACTGGGACAGGTGCAGGGAGAGGAGTGAGGGTGGTGCTGTCACGAAAGAAACAGCGGGAGGCACCTGAGTCCAGCGTGAAGGTGTGCAAGGCCGCAGCAGGCGCAGTACCAGGGAGAAGAGACTCACCAGCACCTAGAGCAGCAGCCTCTATACATGGGTCAGGCGGTACACACTGGTAACAGTCACCCTCAGCACTAGCAGACAAAGCATACATAGCAGAAAGAATAGCATCATAGTATAGGTCAAAGATCGCAATTCCAGACCTAAGCAGCTCTGCCCAATGGGGGCGCTCGACCTCGTCACCAAACTCAGCACGCCAAGCGTCGTCGAGGCGGGAGAAGCAGCGGTGCTGTGTGTGAGGCTTCCCGCATATCGGACCAGCACGGTCACCTGTGCGAATGACATACAAGCAGCTCACACTACCCCCAGACGCCCCACGCTGAAACAACCACTCACGAAGCTGCTGCGGCGACAGGGTCTCGCTCCGACGCTGCTGCCGCTGCTTCTGGCCTCCTCCAGAACCTCCACGTGGAGCTCCAGCCCGACCGCCACCAGTCTCACCGCTGCCACTTATGCCACTCCCGCCGCTGCCTCCACCACCGCCACCAAGGCCACCACTCCCACCGCTGCCACCACCTCCAATGCCTCCACTACCTCCACTGCTGCCCCCACCACCACCCTCGCTGCCACCGCCACCACCCTTGCCACCCTTGCCCTTGCCGGTGCGGCGCTTCGCACTAGCAGAAGCGGCCCCGACGTCCTAAGCACCAAGGATGTCAACAGCAGCAGTAGAGGCGTAGGAGGGGGTACGGGGGGAGGGGGAGCACCCCTCAAAGAAGGGCGTGCGCGGAGTGCCACGAGCAGCACCTACAGCTACTGCACTAGTCTCAGCTGCAAGGAGGTGCTGCTCGAGTAGGTCAACAGTGAGAGAGGTAGGGTCAAGGGAGAGAAAGTGGTCCCTGACAGAACGAAGAGAGTCAGGGAGGTGGATGACTATAAAGTAGAGAGTGATGAACATCGGAGGCTGGTTCCTGTCAAGGAACTCAGCAGGGGCGGCAGCGCAGTAGCGAGCGTCGCTAGCGCGAAGGTGGGAAACCAGGTCCTCAACTATGGCAAAGGCAGACAGCTCGGGAAACAGGTAGGTTAGTAGCAGTCGACCTAGAGCAGCAGTGGCAGGCGAGGAGTAGCGAGCTACGACAGCGTCGTACAGTGCCAGTGCTGTCCTGTGCTGTCCGAAGTGAGTGCATTCAGCTAACGGCAGGTGGTTGCGAATGGCTAAGCGGGCAGCAGCGTTGTGAGTAAGCTACTGTGAGCGAGTCGCACTGTCAGCTGTGGCGGAAGGGGCGGGAGCAGTACCAGACGTGTGGTCAAACAACGAAACACTGTCCCTAGAGTCGCTCAGTAGGTACAGCTGCAGGTCGTCAAGCCACGTGTCAAACTGGATCGGGCGGCCTTCATGATCGTTCGCGAGAACGCGAAGAGAAGCCATAGCGGCGCAGCACGTAGGGCGGGCAAAGGTCGGGCAGCGCGGGGAACAGGGCAGGCAACAGGCTGCAGGAGGGGCGGCTCGAGGGCCTAGGGGCGGCCGCGGGGCGACGTGTCGGGGCAAGGGGCGACTGGCCGGGGCCTAGGTGCGACGGGTCGGGGCCTAGGGGCGACGGGCCGTGGGGCCAGGGGCTACGGGCCGGGGCTAGGGGGGACGGGCTGCGGGGCCAGGAGCGACGGGCCGCGGGGCCGGGAGCGACGGGCCGGGGGCCTAGGGGCGACGGGCCGCGGGGCCTAAGGGCGACGGGCTGGGGGCCTAGGGGCGACGGGCCGCGGGGCCAAGAGCAAAGGGCCGCAGGGTCGAGAGCGACGGGCCTGGGGCCTAGGGGAGACGGGCTGGGGGCCTAGGGGCGACGGGCCGCGGGGCCAGGAGCGACGGGTCGGGGCCTAGGGGCGACGGGCCGCGGGCCTATGGGCGACGGGCCGCGGGGCCAGGAGCGACGGGCCGCGGGGCTGGGAGCGACGGGCCGGGTGCCTAGGGGCGACGGGCCATGGGGCCTAGGGGCGACGGGCCGGGGGCCTAGGGGCGACGGGCCGCGGGGCCTAGGGGCGACGGGCGACGGGCCACGGGGCTTAGGGGCGACAGGCCGCGGGGCCAGGAGCGACGGGCCGGGGCCTAGGTTAGGGGCGACGGACGACGGTCGACGGGCGGGGCCTAGTTTAGGGGCGAATAGCCGCGAGGCCAGGGGCGACGGGCTACGGGCCGGGCCTAGGGGGGGCGACGGGCGACGGGCCGCGGGGCCGGGCCTAGGGGGCGACGGGCGACGGGCCGGGGCTAGGGGCGACGGGCCGGGGGTCGACGGGCTAGGGGCGACGGGCCGGGGTTCGACGGGCCGGGGCGACGGGCCTAGGGCGACGGGCCTAAGGGCAACGGGCTGAGGCGACGGGCCTAGGGGCGACGGGCCTACGGGCAGTAGGGGCAGCACGAGGGCTGCAGAGGGCGGCTAGCGGGGTAGCGCTGGGGAGAGAAAAAAAAAACGGTCCTAACGAAGGACCTGCTCTGAAACCATGTCAGAAGAATGAACGAGAATGAATGAACGATGAAAGAGTTGGGTACAAGTACTAACCCTTATTGGGTTGTACCACTTATGGGCTACCCCACTATAGCCTACACAAATGTTAACACTATAAAATTCTGACACCTACTTTGCCTCACTTGCTCACTACATGATTTTACTTGTACTGTGATCTATATATATACATGCATGCTTACACATGCTGGAGATCGTTCTTCTTGGCTTTGTCCTTGACGCGCCTGGCTGGCAGTTTTACGACCCCACCTCGCGCCGTGTCTTTGCATCTCAGGACGTCAACTTTGACGAGTCGGTCCCCTTTTACCGCCTCTTCCCCTACCGCACTGCTCCTAGCCCCCCCCCGCCGCTCTTTCTCGCCCCAGGTCCTCCCCAGGTAGACCCCCTCCCCGTGCCAGGTCCTTCTCCTTCAGGTGTCTCTCACGTAGACCCCCCCGCGCCTGCGCCTGTTGAGGTCACTGGTGACTCCGGTCCTGCTGGGAGTGGTGCTGTCCCTGGGGGTGCGGAGCTTGGGGGTGCTGAGTCTGGGGGCGCTGAGCGTGTGGAGCCTGGAGGTGCTGAGCCTGCGCGTGAGGAGTCTGGAGGTGCTGCGTCTGGGGGTGCTGCGCCTGGAGGTGCTGCGTCTGGGGGTGCTGAGCCTGCGTGTGCGGAGCCTGGGGGTGCTGAGTCTGAGGGTGGGTCGCCTGAGGGTTCTGAGACTGCTGTTACGCGGTCTCCTTGGAGTAGCCGTCTTCGTCCGCGTGTGCCCCTCACCTCCCAGCAGCTGCACGACTGGTACGGTCGCCGTCAGCGTCGCACTTCTGCACCTCAGGGCTCTACTGCTGGGGGTTCTTCTGCTGGTGTCGCTGGTCCCGGAGGTGCTCGTACTGGGGGTACTGGAGCTGGTGGGGCTGGCGGTGTTGCTGCTGGAGGTACTGGAGCTGCTAGAGGTGCTGGAGGTGCTGGAGCTGCTGAGGGTACTGGGGCTGCTGGCGGTGTTGGACCTGCTGAGGGTCCTGGAGCTACTGGCGGTGCTGGAGCTGCTGAGGGTACTGGAGCTGCTGGAGGTGCTGGAGCTGCTGGAGGTGCTGGAGCTGCTGGAGGTGCTCGAGATGCTGGAGATGCTGGAGGTGCTGGTGCTGGTGGCACTGCTCGGCCGCGCCTGTTCTTCGCTCCGCCGTCTCCGTCGTCTCAGCCACCACCTGACTCTGCACTTCGCCAGGTTCTCAGTCTTCCCTCGTCTACTGGTCTTCCGTTACAGCCTGGCTCACCGCTGCCTGCTCCTTCTCCGTACACAGAGCAGACTGGGGGCCTTGCAGAGCGTCGTGAGCCTGCGTCGCGTCCTGTCTCACCTGTCCGTTCTGGTCGTTCCGGTCGTCGTGTTCCTCGCCTTGTAGTGCGTCGTCCTTCCTCTCCTCCGCCGCGTGTTCCTCTGCCGTCTCCCCCTCTGTCCTCTCTGCCTGTCGTTGCTGACCCTGCGTCTGACCAGTTTCGTGCTGAGCACTCTACTGTCACGCGTCTGCTTGCCACTGTTGTCACTGACCCGTCGTTTGAGTCTGCTGCTGCGTCTGCCTTAGTCGCTGAGCTTGTTGACTTTGCTGCTACCTGTCGTCTCAACTACGCCGCCAGTCTTGTTGCTGAGTCTGAGTCTGTCTGTCCTCCGTTCGTCGGGGGTGAGTGTGCTCTTGGCACGGACGTCCTTGAGGACAGGCAGGAGGACCTTGAGTGTCTTGCAGCCGCTGCGCCTCATCTCGTGTCCATGCTGCTTGCCCCTGAGGGAGACCCGGATGCACCAGACATCCCTACCCCACGCTCTTACGCTGAGGCGATCACGGGTGAGTACTCCTCTCAGTGGCAGACAGCCATGGATGCAGAGATGGCATCCTGGAAGTCCACAGGCACCTACGTCAACGAGGTTCCCCCTCCTGGGGCGAACATTGTCAGTGGCATGTGGATTTTCAGGGTGAAGCGGCCGCCAGGTTCTCCGCCTGTCTTCAAGGCTCGTTACGTGGCTCGAGGCTTCAGTCAGCGAGAGGGAGTTGACTTCTTCCAGACCTTCTCCCCCACCCCGAAGATGACCACTCTTCGGGTGCTGCTGCACGTTGCCGCTCAGCGTGACTACGAGCTTCACTCTCTTGACTTCAGCACAACCTTCTTACAGGGCAGCCTGCACGAGGAGATCTGGCTGCGCCGCCCTCCTAGCTTCACTGGGTCGTTCCCTCCTGGTACCCAGTGGAGCCTCCGGTTACCGGTCTACGGTCTCCGCTAGGTGCCACGTGAGTGGCACGACACACTGAGGACGACTCTTGCGGCTCTTGGGTTTGCCCCGTCGACTGCTGACCCGTCGCTGTTTCTGCGCACCGACACTTCGCTGCCGCCGTTCTACATCCTCGTGTACGTCGACGACTTGGTCTTTGCCACTGCTGACATTGAGGCTCTCGCCCTGGTGAAGTCGAAGCTGCAGAAGAGACACACGTGCACAGACCTGGGTGAACTACGCAGCTTCATTGGCTTGCAGATCACCCGGGACAGAGCACGCCGCACCATCACACTGACTCAGTCACACATGGTGCAGCAGGTCCTTCAGCGCTTCGGCTTCACCTGGTCCTCAGCACAGCCCACTCCTCTGGCTACAGTTCACTCGCTCTCAGCTCCACCTTCAGACGAGTCCGTAGAGCCGAGTGGTCCTTACCCAGAGCTAGTGGGCTGCCTCATGTACCTGATGACCTGCACTCGTCCTGACCTTGCGTACCCTCTTGGCCTTCTGGCTCGCTACGTGGCTCCTGGTCGGCACCGAAAGGTGCACATGGATGCTGCTAAAAGGGTACTACGCTACTTGTGCAGTACATCGGGCATGGGGCTCGTGCTTGGAGGACGGGGTGACATTGTCCTCACTGGTCACTCGGACGCCTCTTGGGTTGACGACCAGGCTACGCAGCGGTCGTCACAGGGTTACACCTTCAGCCTTGGCTCTGGTTCAGTTTCTTGGCGTTCTACACGCTCGTCTTCAGTTCTCGGCTCCAGTTGTGAGGCTGAGATCTACGCCACAACCATGGCTGCACAGGAGCTTCCCTGGCTCACCTACCTGCTGACTGACTTGGGAGAGCGGCCTCGTTCTCCTCCAGTTCTGTACATCGACAACAAGGCCGCCATTGCCTTGTGTCTGGAGCACAGACTGGAGCACAGAACGAAGCACACCGCCCTGCGTTACTTCCTTGCTCGAGAGTTGCAGCAGCTTGGCCAGCTTCGTCTTGCTTACGTGGCCACTCGGGCCAACACTGCTGATATATTCACCAAGGCACTTCCGTCTGGTGATCATCAGCGTTTCTGTACTTTGTTAGGCCTTGTGCCCACACTTCCT